CGCCCAGAAGCCTGTGAAATAAGGCGTTTGGCCCCACAAACCCGCCCTTAGGGGAATCCTCATTGCAGGAAAACATGCGGGGCATCCGGGATGATAACTTCCTCGGGTTCCTGGAGTGCCCTGGCCTGGTTTGCAGCCTCGGGGGTTTAAGGGTTTGCGGTTTAGGGTTTAGGGTTTGGGGTGTAGGGTTTGGGGTCTCGGGTTTGGGGTTTGAGGCTTGTGGCTTTGGCTTGAAATTTTCCGGGTGTCAGAAACCGAACCCTGGAAACCTTGGGTGCTTTTCCGGGCTTTGGGGTGGTCTAGGGCTCACTGAACGCGACCCCGCAACCCTGCCCAGACCACTCCCACCCAGGGTCCTCGAAGACACCTTCAACATACGTCCACGGGGGAGGGAGATGCAGGCACACATCATGTAGAAGGTCAGGTCTCTAGATTGAGGTCGTCGCTTCTTGCGTCTTGTAAGGGCTTTACAGGGTGGGGCCCCCTTACTATACTAACTGTAGTTAAGGGACTTATAACCTAACTTAAGGTCCTTATAACCCAATTTAGGGCCCTTATAACTCTACTTATAACTAGGGGGCCCCACCCTGTACTATTTGAAGGAGCTCATGATTTCCCTTGTCCCGACACACCCCCTAGATCAGCCCCCCGCCTCAGGCAGCACTTCACGCTGACGAGATTCCACCCCAGCTGGAACAAGGCCCGCTCCCTACACCCGAGTCGCTGCCTGGACCCTTGATTCTAGTACTGTTCTTGGGTTTTAAGTTGTGTAGATTTCGACTTTACAAGATGTCGAAACAAGGTACTCTACACAAGAAACTACCTAGACCTGCCTCCCCCCCAGGTGCCCGTTGAGAAGCATTTCAAAAAACCCTCCAACAAAGCACCCCTCTGGCTTTTACTAATGGGGCAGGGAGGTGCGGGTAAGCATCATGCTTGTGAATCGTGGGTCGGCGCTTCTTGCAGGACTGAAACGGGGAAGCCCAGCACGAGTTGGGGATTTAGGGTTTCGGGGTTTCGGGTTGTAACGTGGGCCCTATATGGTCCCTTACCTTTAAAGGGTTCTGATGTAAGGGTCCTTAATTGTACAGGGGCATAGAAGGGGTCCCCTTTAAAGGCCCGCACTACGGGACCATGTAACTCCTCTCAGAGGTTTAGGCTACATACTTGGGATGTAATTGGGGCTGCGGCGGGCGAGTGTCCTGCCAAAGCGTGTTTGAGTCTCAGAAAGCCTTCCGCGATCGTGGCTGCACATGCCATGCAAGACACAACCGTTGTGCATACACCTTAAGTCCTGTCCATCCACGCGCTGTGCAATATTATACATATGCGTATATACGTATATATTTGTGCATTATAACATATATGCACAGGTACACAGAACCTTTATTGTTTTACGTCAGTATATTTGAGAATGTTATCAAATATAGACCCTTGGCACAGGCAGTGCATAATTCTTTTCAAAAAGTGAGAATGAATAGAAAACATAATTGATAACAGTGAAGTTTATAAATGTAATATAGGTGTTAGATGTACACCTGTAGCTATACTGATTCTGCTGTGCCGAACGGGTCTTATGCCCATAAACCCTAAACCCTAAACCCTAAACCCTAAACCCTAAACCCTAAATGACGAGAGGTGGTGCCACTCTTTTCGAAGTGGAAAGACCTTGCGGGGCTCCTTGGTTTAGAGACTTTTGGGCTCAGTAAGGGTTTGGGGCTGAGGATTAGGTCTAGGATTTATAAGGTTGCCCTGGAAGAAAGTCCTCAACCCTAAGCCCTAAACCCCAAACCCTAAGCCCTAAACCGAAACCCGAAACCCCAAACCCTATGTCAGCCCACACTGGTCTAGGCCTTAAGGGTTACGTGCTGGCTTCGTTGCGCTAAAAGTACAGCTTGACAACCTTATGACCCTACTTAGAAGTACCTATGAACCTCCAAGTCAGGCTGGGGGATCTGAGGTCTGTAAGTCCCTCAACTCACCTAAACCCAAAAAATTCCAGAAGACATCTGGGAGCTAAGGCGTTCCTTGGACCAGGAGGTCTTCCTGCAGTCCATCGCCAAGGCCTGTCCATGAGGCTTAGGGTTTAGCGGCACAGGGTGTTCTCCCAAACGTGGTTTTTCCCTGTTCCGTGTAAAGATCCGTTTTAGGGAGGACACCTTCTCTTCTAGCCATGCTCCCTCAGGTATGCGGCTTCTTGGCCGTTTGCATGTAAATCCTCAAATGCAGAGTTCAACACTTGAAAGCGCACTCCTCTAACTGAAAACCCTAAACCCTTCCCTGGCCTTCTTCCGGCCTCATCGGCGACTTCGGGCAGCTCCGGCGTGCAACGTGCAGGATCTCGCAACACCCAGATCTGCAACGCCCGGCAACTCTCGCCGCTTTCGAGGAATCGCACGCAATGCCCGCTTCAGCCCCGGCTTGTTGCGAGGACCGTTGGAAAAGCTCGCGTGAGGACGAGGCCTTACAGTCATGCAGCTGGTAACTGGGTTTTGGAGTACTATACTTTAATACTTTTTATGGTTCTGGGTTCCGATTATAGTTACTTTATTACTTATACCTAAAAAGTATATACCTTTTTTTCCAGGGTCTACTCCAAAGGTGGGGGTAAGCTGTGCGAGTATTGAAGTGTTTGGTTGCGAGTCGGATCCATACCGGTCAAGCGGCGTTTTGCCTTCAACCCTAAACCCTAAATCCCTACACCCTCAGCCCTAAACCCTAAACCACAAGTTTAGGGTTTAGGATTTAGGAGGTTAGGGACCATATTAAGGGCCTATGAAACTACCCTCAAAGGTGCCTGGGGTTTAGGGTTTAGGGTTTAGGGTTCAGGGTTTAGGGTTTAGGGTTTAGGGTTCAGGGTTCAGGGTTTAGGGTTTAGGGTTTAGGGACTTCAAGTGTCGGGGGGGTTGGGGTGGAAACTTCTGGCCAGGATTCAGCCAACTTCCTAGGGGTGGAGGGGCTTGGGTCCATCCTCTAGCAAGACCGACTGAGGAGATTTGCACTTGGAGGTCAAGGAGTACTTATAAGCAGAGTAATATGCTTAGTGACTGTATTGAGAGTGGGTTATAGCTTATCACTCTATGTAGGATACTTGTTACCCTACTTCCGAGAGCTTCTGAGTACCCATGAACCTCTCAGTGTGGTCATGGACCGGTGCGAGTCCTTTTTCATCAAGGTTCTTCTGAGTTGAGTGAAACCCAAACCCGAAACCCCAGACCCCAGACCCTAGACCCTAAACCCTAAACCCGGCCCTAAACCCTAAACCCTAAACCCTAAACCCTAAACCCTAAACCGCAGTTTGCGAAGCCCGGAAGCCTGGGGCCAACCCCCTACATACCCCAAGCCTGGGAGGACTTCAACATGACGGTGGCCTACGCAGCTCAGCATGTTTAGGGTTTAGGGTTTAGGGTTTAGGGTGGGTTTAGGGTTTAGGGTTTAGGGTTTAGGGTTTAGGGTTTAGGGTTTAGGGTTTAGGGTTTAGGGTTTAGGGTTTAGGGTTTAGGGTTTAGGGCTAGGATGTTTGCAGATGTGTGTCTAGAGTCGGCCAGCGTGAGGAAGGATTGAACTGAAGGCGCGATGTAAGTGCGGCCGATTTCTGGATGACATTCGGGTAATGGGGGGGCCTAAGAAAATCACAATAGGGTTTTGGGGGGTTATTGTAGTATAATTATACGGGGACCCTAAGGGAATACTACTAGTAATTATTCCGACCCTTGTATATTGCCGTTCTTAAGCAAATAGTAGAAGAGTTTAGAGAACTGACCAGATGTGCCTCGCCTTGTGCAGCTTCTAAGCGGGCTTTCACTCACCAGGGTTCGAAGGCATGAAACCCAGCCACATGGTCCTTCAGAAGGGCTTTTCGATGAGCTCTCTGGGGAGTAGTTTTTCTGGGGTTGAACAGCCCAACCTAACCGTCAACTTGTTCAAAACAAGTTGATGCTGTGAACTGTTCTGACTTCACAGTGCGTTCAAAAACCCTGAACCATAAACCCTAAATCCTAAACCCTAAACCCTAAACCCCAAACCCTAACAGTTCACGGTGTTGTCGTTGCAGGTGAAGTTCCTTATCAAGACTGCTCCCGACATGGAGTCGGACGTTCTGAAACTTGCCCCAACAAGCTGCCCCTGCTTAAAGGTTTAGGGTTCAGGGTTCGGGCTTGTGGGTAGCCCTAAACCCGAAACCCTAACCCCTAAACCCGTAGGTATAGCTATCGGTACCTACGGTTATCCTACTTGTGACCATACTTTTAGACACCTATGATCCACCAGGTGGGCTTATCCCTACGCCGGGTTAGGTGCCATCAGCCGCGGACTCCAATCACATAGCAGGGCTTAGGGTTTAGGTTTTGAGGTTTAGGGTTTAGGGTGAATTGGGGTTTGGGGTTGAATTGAGAACTTATCATCTAGACACAGCATTCAGCCCAGCAGTGCTCAAGTCTCGTTTTGCAGGGCTAGGATCCCTTGAGAAAAAATTTTCATGATGCAAAAAAAGCAGCCTTTTGCTCGTAGGTTGCCTACTAGTTGCTTTAGACCCTCCCCAAAAAAAAGTAAGAATAATAATACTAACAACGACAACTACAAGATTCTGCTTTCTAAGGGTACTATAGGCAGATTCTGGTTTAACAAATATGTTGTGGGCTCATAAAGCAAATAGTTTGGGAGGTTTTCCCTTACACCCGCCGTGCTTAATAAGATTATAGTACCCCTATCAAATTCCCTATTCAGGACTGCTAGTAGAAAGGAGAACACCCCAGCAAAGAACCCTAAACCCTAGACCCTAAACAGATACTGGCGAAACCAGTAGTGCCTGCCTTTCGGAGCCTGCGGACTCTGAGGTCCATATGGCCCAGCAAGGTGTAATCCTGAGCCCTACTTGGGGGGGCGTTTAGTAAAAGGGGAAGGGATCATGGCTCAAAGAAGTCAACACCTTGTTACATGAACTCCATCTTGTTGATGACAAATGGGTTGCACTTGTACATAAGAACGTTGTTAAGCTAGTGATGACCTCCTTATTTGCGGAGCATGTGAACATAATCCCGGACTTCCTGGCGGAGATCAGCGACGCCATAATAGTGGATGGCATCGTCTACACAGGCGATGGCATGGAGGAGGATAACACCATGGACCTGCGAGTGGTATTGCCAAGGGACTTCAGGGACCCCAAGTTGAGGTTCGACCTGCTGATAACGGCCAACGGTGTGGTCTTCGACACGGCCATGTACGAGGTCTTCCCCTCGATCGAGGAGAATAAGTCCTTCATGCATGTAGGGTGCCCGATATCCCTGCACATAAAGCACCCATCATCCTCCAAGTAGCACCCAAGCCCACACCCCTGAACCCCAAGCCCTACACCTTTGGGGATGTTCCCCTTACATGAACAGTCCTTAATAGGAATTCTAATAGGGCTGTTCGGATACAAACCCAAAACCCCAAAACCCCAAAACCCCAAACCCCAAACCCCAAACCCCAAACCCTAAACCCTAAACCCTAAACCCTACAAGAGGAACATCCCAAGCCCTCCACCCCTACAACCCTAGAAGCCACAGTTCCGAGGAACGCGATGCTGCCGTGCACACCTGAGGACGGAGGCGGGGCTCCCTTTGTCAAGGGACTACAGGAGGGACCCTGGGGTTTAGGGTTTAGGGTTTAGGGTTTAGGGTTTAAGGTTAGTATCATATCAAGGGACTAAAAGAGGGACCCTTGTAAGGGACCTTAGGGGCTCTTTCGGGGTTATTCGGGCTATTTAGGTATGGGGACGAGAAATAGGGGTTGACAAGGGGAATAAGATTGAGGGTCCTTTTAGGGGTGCCTCCTTATACCGCTTAAGTTTGTGCTACCCCTCCCCCCCCCCCCTCCCCAAAAAAGTAACGTAACACGTGGAGATGGTCACTTCTCTAAATGATGGTCTTTTTTGGCATCACTATGAGAAGGCCGGCTCTTATATTTAGGATACACAAAAAGGGACCTCATTTAGAGAATTAATGTGAACAGAGCATAAGAATGACATACCTGAAATTTGTTCAGGGTTTGAGGGGCTGGGGTTCATCGTTCGTTGGGGGGGGTGCTGGGGTTGAGGCAAAACCTCTAATGTACTGGGTTGAGGGTGTAGGGCTTACCAGAGCGGCCTCTACGCCCTTGAATTTGGGGTGAGCTTTTGAAAGCCGTAAGGTGTTGGACATGACCGGTGAGGATTGGGGGGTGCGCGGGTTGAGTTGGTTGCCCTCGGCGTCCCCACGAGCTTTTTGCTTCTCCCTTTGCCAGGAGTGAAGGTTCCCTTCGATGTTCCCCCTTATACTAACAGTCCTTACTAGGGATTATCATAGGGGGTACTCTAATCCCTATTAAGGACTGTTAGCATAAGGGGGAACGTCCCAACTTAAACCCCAAAATTTAGGCTATAGAGCCTCGTCTCCGAGCTTGCAAAAAACACAAAAAGGCGCCAGGCGCGGTTTGGACTTTGCTGAATCCTTGGCCTTCGGGTCTGCCAAAACCCCACACCCTGAAGCAAACCCGAAGGGTTCGGGGTTTAGGGTTTAGGGTTTAGGGTTTAGGGTTTAGGGTTTAGGGTTTAGGGTTTAGGGTTTAGGGTTTAGGGTTTAGGGGGGTTAGGGTTGGTAGTTAGGGTCCAGCGTTTGGGCATGTAGGTTCCTAAATCCAGGGTTTCAAGATTTCATGGTTTTTGCCCTTCGGTGCTTCTGGTTTCAGTAGGGCACCTAAAGGAGTGCCGAATATAGGGGTCAGAATAAATATGCATAGTGTTCCCCTAGGGTCCCTGTATAAATATACTTTCATAAGCCCGCAAACCTGACTCTACCTATTCAGGCCCCTATATTGCCTTCCGTGTTCAATCCCTGCATGGGGGGGGGGGGGGGTGTGCATAATACGGAGCCTTTATGTTTAGGGAAGACCCGAATGGGCCATCATCTAGAGTAGCCACTACCTTCAAAGGCCACCCTAAACCTTAAACCCTCAACCCTAAACCCTAAACCCTAAACCCTAAACCCCCCTCCCCCCCCGACTTCGCCACGCGAGGCTCCAGGTATCTGCTCCTCCAGAGTCTGAAGAACCTGCACTTCGTCGGCGGTTTAGGGTTTTGGGTTTAGGGTTGAGGGTTTTAGGGTTTCAGGGTTCTGTTGGGCCCGACCTTTTATTGGTAGCCCAGTGGTGCCCTTTCACTTGTTTTGGTTCAAGGTTGTCGTTTCAAGTAGCCAGCCCAAAATCGGGTGCCCTTATGTTAGTATGGTTACTGGGCTACCAAGTATAAGTTTCATGTTCCGGAGCCTTATATGTAGTAGGTACCCAAAACAGGCCTCCAGTGGTTTAGGGTCTAGGGTTTAGGGCAGACAGAGGGTTTAGAGTGTGTGGACGGTTGCATGTGGAAGTCGATCCAAGCAAGGATGTACGCACTGTGGGGCCAAGCAGCTTTGTAGACCTTCTGGCCATCATCAAGCCCCTGGCAGCTGTTTACCTTGTCATCGACGTCGCTTCGCTCCACGCGGATACGGGCGAGGCGCTGTCCAACCCCTCGCATCGAAAGCTCTGGGCTTGAGTCTCTGGAGTGTTGATGCAACGTAGTATTACGGCACATCGGCTACTGCTCTCTTGCGTGGTCCACTTGGGGTTTAGGGTTTAGGGTTTCGGGTTTAGGATTTAGGGTTTAGGTTCAGGGTTTCTGGGCTCACATTGTCTTGCACAGAACCCTTCCTCGAAGTAGAGACCTCTTCTGTCCTGTGGTTGCTTCAAGACTTAGAGGGGGTGGGGTTTCTCCAGCAACCCCACCGACACGTTTACACGAGCCCCAAGATGACCCGGACTCGAAACCTAAAGACCCTGAAACCCTAATCTTTGGCCACCGAGTGGTACCCTTTTCCCTTTCTTTTTGGTTCTAGGTTCCCTTTTAAAAGAGCCAGCCCCCCCAAAAAAACACCCGTGTTTTTTAGTATGGTTACTGGGCAACCAAGAGACCACACTCGGAGGTTCATGAAGTTCATGGGTACGTATACTAGGACCCAGAGTAGGCCCTTGCCCCTTTTGGATTCGGGGGGGGGGGGGGGGGGGGGGGGGGGGGGGGGGGGGGGGGGGGGGGGGGGGGGGGGGGGTGCTGGACTTTGAGGTTCCCTTATAGGCCTCGGTAGACCAAAAAGTTACCGTTTTCATTCCTAGAATACTCTCCGGGCAACTATGATTGTGCTAGGTTATAGATTTTTACAGAGCGCTCAAAACTCTGCGCATAAGCACCCAGGAAGCTAGAAGTCATGGACAGAGAAGTCATGGCCCCTAAACCCTACACCCTACACCCTAAACCCTTCAAACCCTAAACCCTAAACCCTTCAAACCCTAAACCCTAAACCCCAATCAAGCCACTTGAGGCCCAAAAGCGGCCGGAAGGGTTCAGAACCCCCCTGACCCAATGTGTCCTACGCCTCATAACGCCTTGGGTGCTTTAGGTTTTTCTTGTGGACCTTGGGGCGCTTCGGATCCTAGGATATTTAGGGTTTAGGGTTTAGGGTTTAGGGTTTAGGGTTTAGGGTTTAGGGCAATTAGGGCAATGTAGGACAAGTCTTCAGAGCTTACAGGGTCAAAAGCCAAGGAACAACTTCGTGTCCTGCTACAAGGCTATGGAGTGCTTCCTGCTCCTCAGACCACTTTTTGGTTGTTGTGGTTTTAGGGTTTAGGGTTTATGGTTTGGGGTTTAGGGTTTAGGGTTTAGCTGTAGAAGGTGCAGTAAGGGTGGCTGGAGAAGGCCCCCAAGGCCCGTGAGCCGGGTTTCGGGTTTTGGGTTTAGGGTTTCGGGTTTGGGGTTTAGGGTTTTTTCTATCTCTCATCCTCAAAGGGGTCTTTCTGGAATGTAATCCTAAACGCCCATGTACCTCATGATTACATGGGGCGGCCCAAGTCCCCATGTAGGAGGCACCTTTAAGTACTCCCCATTTGCATCAGCTGTGTCTTCAATGGAGCTCAAAGGCTGAATTCGGGTTCAAGGGTTTCGGGTGCAAGGCTTGTAAGGGCCACAAGGTTTAGGCTTCAAGTTCTACACCCTACACCCTAAACCCTAAACCTTAACCCTAAAAACTAAACCCTAGACCCTAAACCCTAACCCCTAAACCCTAAACCCTAAACCCGAAACCCCTGGGGGGCATTCGAGGCTCTTCAACGCGCAGAATCCCACAGGGAGCCTTGCCAGCAGCTGACTCCTGCGTCCCCCAGTGTCGCCTTGCCTAGGGCCTGATTCATTTGGCTAGGTTTAGGGTTTAGGGTTTAGGGTTTAGGGTTTAGGGTTTAGGGTTTAGGGTTTAGGGTTTAGGGTTTAGGGTTTAGGGTTTAGGGTTTAGGACGTAGGGCTTAGGGCTTAGGGCTTAGGGTTTAGGGTTTAGGAAGTACCCTTAATATGTTAACATGCCAAAATCTTGCCCTTCTTCTAAGAACCCAAAATGGGAACCCCCCATTTTCGGAAATCCCCATTTGGTAACCGCTCTTTTAGTTTTTGGGAGTTGGTCTATTATGTATATGTAGAACTTAGCAGTCGGTGTATAAATATTCTACAAAAAATTTAGTTATATTTATTTATTTTCTTATTTATATCTATATTTATATTTTCCATTTGTATATTAAAATTAATATCTTTGTATTTGTTCATATTTACATATGAGAGAGAGGGTATTTTATGCTCTATTTGGCGTCTTACTCGTTGTATAAGTAGATGATTGCAATAATTGGTTTAGTTGAATTCGGAAAGCTTTGAAAATCAATATTCTACAAGTGGCTGTAATTGCAGTAATTGAATGACTTGGAGTTAATTGAAGTATTTGAATTGAATACAAGAATTTCATTAGAGGTAGAGGGGCCTGAGTCCAGTCCGGTAATTTCATCAACGGCACTACTTCAATAATTTCAAAACCCAAAACCTTGAACCCTAAACCCTAAACCCTGAACCCTAAACCCTAGACCCTAAAAGGCACTACAACCTCAAGCTGCACATCATGTCGGAGTTCGCCGTGGCGCAGCGCACCGCGGACTGCACCAAGGTTTTCGGCGGGCCGCCCAGTGCTCCTTAAGGGTTTAGGGTTGAGGGTTGAGGGTTTAGGGGTTAGGGTTGAGGGTTTAGGGTTTAGGGTTTAGGGTGTAGGGACGATACCTTGAGCTATATACGAAGTTCAGGAAGGTACCTGAAGCAAGAAATACGCCTGAACCAGGGGTTGTACCCCAGAGTAGAAACCTCAAATACCTTAAAGTATATACACTATAAACCTCGAAGTGTTTACCTTAAGTCGGAAACTCGCCTCAACTACATAAATGAACCTTATGATGTATATAATGTAGAATCCCCTGATTTTAGGGGTCTTGGGTCCTCGGCGCTGCAGGTCCACCCGAAGCCCAAAACCTTGAACCCCCCTTGTGGGGTTATAGGGTTTAGGGTTTGAAGGTTTAAGGGTTTAAAGGTCTGGGGTTAATTTGTTTTACAGGTGTATGGTTCGGAGGTTTCAGGGTTTAGGGTTTGCAGGTTTCAGGGTTCAGGGCTTCCAGGGTTTGGGGTTTAGGGTTTAAACCCCCTGAACCCAAAACCCTAAACCCGAAACCCTAACCCTAAACCCTTCATCCTAAGCCCTGAACCCTGAACCCTGAACCCGAAACCCTAAACCCTAACCCTAAACCCTTCATCCTAAGCCCTGAACCCTGAACCCTGAAACCCTACATCCTAGACCATCCTAGACCCTAAACCCTAAACTCTGTAGTGCTTCGGGATAATTTTAAATCTCACTTCTTTCCCTTTGTGAAGGGAACTTATTCATAAATAATTTTCAAAGGGCTTTAGTAGACTTTAGAGCACCACTCAGTACAGTCTCACGGAGAGCTCAGAGGTTTCAGGCTCTAGGACTTTAGGGGTTTGAAGGATGCGCGGCGGTGTAGACATTGTCACTTCACAGACCCTAAACCCCAATGTGCCCCCCTGAACCCTAAACCCTAAACCCTAAACCCTAAACCCTTAGGGAGAAGCTCAAAGGTTCAGGCTTTAGGACCTCAGGGGCCAGAAGGATGCGCGGCGGTGTGCCCCCCTGAGCCCCGAGCTCTGAACCCTACATCCCTGAACCCTAAACCCTAAACCCTAAACCCTATACCCTATACCCTAAACCCTAACGAAAAGCGACGAATGGCAAGGCCTCCTCTTGCTGGATCGCTGGGAGTGTGCCGGACACCCAGTGCGACGCAGTGGTAAACCCAAGCCCCAGAACCAGAACGCTCAGGGTTTAGGGTTCAGGGTTTAGGGTTTAGGGTTTAGGGTTTAGGGTTCAGGGTTTAGGGTTATAGGATTATAGGATTACCCTAAACCCTCACAAACCCCATAAACCCTAGAAACCCTTATAAACCCTACTACACCCCATAAATCCCACAAGCCCTATAGGCCCTTTGAACTCTAAAGACCCTAAGCCCGGTTCAGGTTGCGAGCCGAAGTGTTAAGAAGCTGAGGGGTTTAGGGTTTAGGGTTTAGGGTTTAGGGTTTAGGGTTTAGGGTTTAGGGTTTAGGGTTTAGGGTTTAGGGTTTAGGGTTTAGGGTTTAGGGTTTAGGGTTTAGGCATCCAAGGCACAAAGAGTAGGAGTTCGGCTAATCGGTTAGTTCTCTAATTCAGTATCCTTTTTTGGCTCCCTCCCCTGCATAACACAGCACCCTTAAATACGGACCCCAAAAGGGACCCCTAATGCAGAGAACTAACTACCAAATCACGAAGACCCCAAGGACGCTTTCGTGGTTTGGGTCCCCTAAACCAACCTAAGCCTCAAACCCTAAACCCTAAACCCCAAACCTGAAAACCTAAACTGTAAACCACATATTGGGGTTTATAGGAGCTTTAAGCCTAAGCTCAGAGCCCTTACCCCGGATGCCCGGCCCCTTTGGTTTCCCGTACATTTATGGGGGTTAGGGCTCCGGGTTTGGGGTTTATGGGTTTAAGGGTTTCAGGTTTAAGTGTTTTAGTGGTCAGGGTTTAGGGTGTAAGGGTTTAAGAATTTACGGGTTTAAGGGTTTTAGGGTTTACCCTAAACCCTAAACCCTAAACCCTAAAGCCTAAACCCTAAACCCTAAACCTTCAGGGTTTAAGGGTTTAGGGTTTAAGGATTCGAACCTGAGTCGCAGGTCGTCAACAAACGCAACGGCCGCCTCGACGTCTCGTCCCGGGCGTTGCACGGCTGCGTGCAGGGTTTAGGGTCTAGGGTTTTGGGTTTAGGGTTGCTTTTATGTTGCGAGTTCAATCTCGATCCATGTCTAGTACTCTTGTGGAGGTACATAGTTACCTTCAAAACCCTACTTCGTATCAAGGGATGAAGATTCGTATTAATATGGTTTTATATCTTTTTAGAGATGTTGAAACAGGGACTCCCAAAACCCAAGGGTACAACGCTAAGGGTCCAAGGTAGAACCCCTAGATCGCATGGCTTATGGCGATTTGCTGCAAGGGCTTCATTGGATGCTTCGGCGTTTTGAAGTTTTGCTTCTTCGGGATTACCGTATCTACAGTGATTAGGTCGTGGCCCTCAAACCTAAACCCAAAACCCCAAGCCCCAAACCCTAAACCCTAAGCCCTCACTTTGGTAATTCTAGGTCTGACCTGGAGCTGGTCAGGAACAGGTCCTAAACCCTAAACCCTAACCCCTAAACTGTAAACCCTAAACCCTAAACCCTAAACCCTCAAACCCTCAAACCCTAAAGCCCTAAATCCTAAACCCTGAACCCTGAACCCTAAACCCTAAACCCTAAAACCCTAACCAAGGTAGAATCCCATGAGATCAGGAACAGGTCACACGTCCGCAACGAGCTCCACGGTGGAAAGCAGCTGTCGCTCTCGACCTTCTCCGTCGCCGAGTGGAGCTTGCCAGAGGCACAGGGTTTAGGGTTTAGGGTTTAGGGTTTAGGGTTTAGGGTTTAGGGTTTAGGGTTTAGGTTTTAGGGTTTAGGGTTTAGGGTTTAGTTAGGCTTTAGGGTTTTATAGGGTTTAAGGTGTAGGGTTTGGGGTTTACGGTTTAGGGTTTAGGTTTTAGCGTTTAGGGTTTAGTCTGGGATTAAAGGGTTGCAGGGTTTAGAGGCTTTACAGCATTTGTAGGGTGTGTAGGAGTTGAAGGTTTTATGAGGTTTATGGGGTTTATTGGGTTTGTAAGGATTGTGGGGTGTATTTGGTTTGCCGGGTTTATAGGGTTTATAGGGTTTGTAGGGTTTATAGGGTTTGCAGGGTTTAGGGTTAATAGGGTTAGATTGTTTTGTAGGGTTGATAGGGTTGGACAGGCTTTAATGTTTATACATATAGGGCCGAGCAGCCTGTCGAAGCAATCAGCGATCACTAGCCCTCAGAACCCAAGCAAGCCGAAGCCCGAAACCTTGAGAAGTGTTTCTTCACATGGAGGCCGATGCCTTCGAGCTGGACTATGTCTCCAGCGCGCGACCGCCTGTCGAGGCACCATCGGGAGACTCAAGAGCCTCCAGCAGCCCCTAAACCCCAAACCCTAAATCGCAACTTCTTCTATTGCATGAGCCGAAATAGCTACCGGCACTATAGGGGATCGTAGGTTTCGGGGTTTAGGGATCTTCGGCTCGGGCTTCGTAGTGGGGTTTAGAGTTTAGGGCTGAGGGTTTAGAACTACTCGTACCCAAAATGCCCTCCTCCATTGCCTCGACTTCCACCGCTTAGAATGCTCAGTACGAAATTCCGAAAGCATCAAGACACAACTTCAATTCGTTCTTGACAAGTAGGGTTTAGGGTTTAGGGTTTAGGGTTTAGGGTTTAGGGTTTAGGGTTTAGGGTTTAGGGTTCAGCCTTGGTGCTCCAACCATCCCAAATAAACCTCAAATCCTTCCTTCACAACCCAACGCCTCGTTCGGCAGGTGGGGATTCTAAACTAGGACCCAGAGACGACCCTCATTCATTCCCTTATATAATTTTAAGCCCCGTAGCCAAAAAGGGTACCTTTTGTTCCTAGGGCACAGATCCTTGTGCGATTTCTGTATGCTGACTATCCTTCCTGGTAGGTGTTCGGTTCCCTTATCCCCTATAAGCCCGACGGGTATTTCTGAAAATACGGCTACCCTTCATAGACCCCCAAAATACTGCAGTCCTTATGTAATGGGAAGTCTTCATAAAGAGATGGGTACAACCCAATTCGCCCTTAATCCTAAGCCCTGAACCCTAAACCACTCTGTTGTGAGGCCCAAGCCCTCACCGATGGCCTCTGGAAGCAGCTCATGGCCTCTTGCCCTTGGTTAGGGTTTAGGCTTGAGGGTTTAGGGTTTAGGGTTCAGGTTTTAGGGTTTAGGCTTGAGGGTTTAGGGTTTAGGGTTTAGGGTTTAGGGTTTAGGCTTTAGGGTGAGGGTTTAGGGTTTAGTGTTAAGGGCTGAGGGTCTCCTCCCTTAAGAACCCTGTAACTTGTGTTCTCGCATTGAGGGCTCATAGTGCTTAGGGTTTTTTGTTTAGGGCTTAGGAGGGTTTATAGGGTTTCTGATATTTATTGTTTTGTGGTTTCTGAGGGTTGATAAACCTTACAGCCCTGGATGTCTGCGTTTAGGGTTAGGGTTTAGGGATTACGGGTTTAGGGACTACGGGTTTAGGGTTTAGGCTTTAGTTGACAATTCACAGCCGGCTGTGGAAACCAAAGAAAGGGCGGCCCCGACATGAAAGTCTCAATGGCAGCTTGCATGGGCCTGCAAGACTCGCCCTAAACCCTAGACCCTAAACCCTAAACCCTGAACCCTAAACCCTAAACCCTAAACCTGGAAACACACACCTATGGTTTAGGACTGAGGCCATTCAGTCGTTTTTGTTGTAGTGGACGGAAGAGGGTAGAGGAAAGCAGAGCAGCGGCATGCGGAAGCGACCAACAGGAGAACCGGGGATGGGGCTGCAGCTTGGGTTTAGGGTTTAGGTTTTGTGGAAGTTATAGGGTCCTTAAGGGAGGGGGGTACCTCAGGGACGCCTAGGGAGCCTTAGGGAGTAGTAGCATGTATTAGGGAACCTTGGGTTATTCCGCCCCTAAACCCTAAAGCCTAAACCCGAAACCCTAAACCCTAAACCCTAAAGGTTTTAAGAGCCAACCTAGCTGAGCCTTGCATTCGGTTACTTGCGTTCACGGCCGGGTATCCACGCTGTAGCATTTTCCTGTTTAAGCTCGGATCACGAGTACTACTTACTATTGTGATGATTCTTGTGCCTACAGGGTGGGGCCCCCTAGTTATAAGTAGAGTTATAAGGGCCCTAATTTGGGTTATAAGGACCCTAAGTTAGGTTATAAGTCCCTTAACTACAGTTAGTATAGTAAGGGGGCCCCACCCTGTACTTACTATTGTGATGATTCTTGTGCCTAGCATTCGTAGTATGGCTCTTAGGGCCTTACGTGGGCTCCAAGACCAGTGGCATGTTGAACCTCTTAGGGTTTAGGGATTGGGGTTTGGGGTCTAACCCTAAACCCTAAACCCTAAACCCTCAACCCTCAACCCTCAACCCTCAACCCTCAACCCTCAACCCTCAACCCTCAACCCTAAACCCTAAACCCTAAACCCTAAACCCTAAACCCTAAACTAAACCCGAAACCCTAAACCCTAAACCCTACACCCTGTGCGTTCCCAAAGCAGTTGGTGTAAAGTCGACAGTTTAGCGTTTTTTGGGTTGACACGTCACGACACCTACCTTGTTTTTTTGTTGGGCCAGAGGGCCACACCCTTGGCTTAGTTACGGGGTTTATAGGGCTTACAGGGTATACGGGTTTAGGGTTTAGGGGTTTAGGGTTTATAGGATTCATCGGGCTTACCTGGCTTACCGGGCTTACCGGGCTTAGGGTGTTTAGGGTTTATCTGGCTTACAGGGTTTTCAGGGCTTGCAGTGTTTGTAGGGCTTATAACCTTAAACCTTATAAACCACACACCCTATACATATGGAAAATGGTAGTGATCATGTAGGGTCACCGGGTTATAGGCTTATAGCCTTAAACCTTGTAAATACCTTAAACCCTATACATATGGAAAATGGTAGTGGCAACACAGGGTTCACCGGGGTCAAGGCTTGTAGCACTCGTCGCCTGTCGCTGCTCCCGGCAAAGGTCTGCATGTACAAGTCCGACTGCAACCCGGAGGACCGAGCTTCATCCCTTCAAACCCTAAACCCTAAACGGCCCTAAGCCCTAAACCCTAAACGGCTCTAAGCCCTAAACCCTAAACGGCTCTAACCCCCTAAACCCCATCCTCTCGTCAGAGTCTAGAGTTATGGCTTCAGCATCTTGGTCTCTTGCGGTCGAAGGTTTCAGGCCTCAAGGGTTCCATCGGGAGGGGTCGACCCCCCTAGTTCCGGACGATCAGGGTTTAGGGTTTAGGGTTTAGGGTTTAGGGTTTAGGGTTTAGGGTTTAGGGTTTAGGGTTTAGGGTTAAGTGTTCAGGGTTCAGGGTTCAGGGTTCAGGGCTTAGGGGGAAAGCCGACACCTCCCTTCCGAGGACAAGATGAAGGTCCTGCGGTCCATCTCCCACAGCCTCTTCATCACGGCCGCTCAGACGATCTTGTGTGAGCGTGCTGTTGATATATTATTATTATTAGTAATATTTTTTAGAATATTACTATGAGTAGTACAAATAATATTATTAATATAATTAGCACAAAATCCCTTTAACGAATCTGCGGGGCGACGTGGAATGTGCAAAGTTTGGAGTTGTCAGAGTAGGCTTTTGCGGGGACCAGAGGTGGTTCCATGCAACTAGCCCCGCCCCCCTCGCTCAGTCGAAGCACATGCGGGAGATGATGGGCTACTTCGACAAGTCGCAGCAGCGACAGGAGGCGTTCGTGATGTTCTTCTGCCGATGCTCGGGATGCATATGGGGGGTTGAGGGTTTAGGGTTGAGGGTTTAGGGGGGTTTCCGAAATTGAGGCTAACTTAGTGGGGTCCTCATTCCTAAGGGCATCCTTTATTCGGGGGTCTATTCAGGGGCTCCCATATCAACTCACAAACCCGATTTCCTAAGACCCTTAAGGGAGGGCAAGAAAAAAGTATATGCCAAACATATCAATTTGGAAATCGATATATACTTGGTAGCCCAGTGGCCCTTATTTCGATATGGTTACCTATACATACATTTATATACATATATATATATGCAGAGACCGATCTGTGAGGGGCTCGTCTGATCATTCTGATGATGTTGGTACATATAAAAGCTTTCCCAAAACTGATTTGCATGCTTTAACTAGCTTCCTCGTCTTTTTCAAAGGGCCAGCTGGACTTCTTGCATTACTTGAACTAGCACGTCCGTACCCCTTAACCAGAGGCTATGGTCACCCCACAGCAGCAGGCATTTGTGGATCCTGCGCTCCTCCTAATCCCCTTCCCCGGAGCCGCCCTAATACCCCAAACCCTAAACCCTAAACCCTAAACCCTAAACCCTAAACCCTAAACTGCGGCGCTGCAAGTGTCGGAAGAGCCTCGTTTTAAGGAATCATCGACATGCACAACCTGAAGCTGTGCAGCGTGCGCTTCGGTGAGGCCCTGGGAACCAGAACCCTTCACTTGATGACCCTAAACCCTAAAGCCTAAACCCTAAACCCTAAACCCTAAACCCTATACCCTAAACCCTAAACCCCACACCCTAAACCCTAAACCCTAAACCCTAAACCCTAAACCCTAAGCCCTAAGCCCTAAGCCCTAAGCCCTAAGCCCTAAGCCCTAAACCCTAAACCCTAAACCCTAAACCCTAAACCCTAAACCCTAAACCCTAAACCCTAACCCAACAGCAACGCCACTCTTTCGGTTCGCCCTAACGCTTCGTGGTGGAAATGTGAGGACGAGGAAGTCAACAACCTCCGCTACCGCCTGGGGCAGGATTCTCATCTGCAATTTGTTTAGGGTTTAGGGTGTAGGGGTTAGGGCTTAGGGTCAGGGACCCTGACACTATTTGGAAGTTCATGGGTATTTAAAAGCGGGTGAGACTCTGAGAAGTGTGTACCTGTGGTTATAAGCTTACTTCGGGTACTACAACCCTAGCTATAATAAGTACCCATGAACCTTCAAGCAAAGCCCTTGATGAATGTGAAGCCCTAAGCCTAAGCCCTTGGAACCTTAACCTTACATGGCTACCTATCTGGACCTATCTCTTCATAAGGTTGATTCGGCTGAGGGTTTGTAAGGTTTATGGCTTGGGGAAAGTCATCCGATTAGTGACTGTGACCTTAAACCCTAAACCCTAAGGCAACCCGCGCCCGGCCTTCAGGCGGTATTCTTCCCGTACTTCCAGCCGGAGAATGCAAAGTTCGAGCTGGCCCCTTTCTTTGCAGCCGGAACTGGGAGGTTAGTCCAGGAAGGTTTAGGGTTTAGGGTTTAGGGTTTAGGGTTTAGGGCTTAGGGCTTAGGGCTTAGGGCTTAGGGCTTAGGGCTTAGGGCTTAGGGCTTCTGGTCTGGTACAAAACAGATGTTTCCTAAATGCGGGGGGCACTCTCTCATAATACCCCAAAACCCAAAACCCTAACCCCCCCCCAAAAAAAAAAAAAGGGTACTACTGTTGTCGGAAACTCCCAATTTACATGCAAAGGCACAGCCTGGCACATCCATCCTCGAAGAATTTGGCGATTTAGGGTTTAGGAGTTCAGGGTTTAGGGTTTAGGGTTTAGGGTTTAGGAGTTCAGGGTTTAGGGTTTAGGGTTTAAGAAGTCCTGTTTCGACCTTTCAAGCTCACTGGCGGCAAGGGCCAACCGTTGTTGGAAACCCTAACCCTAAGCCCCAAGCCCAAAAACCTAAACCCTAAACCCTAAACCCTAAGCCCTAAGCCCTATGCCCTAAGCCCTAAGCCCTAAGCCCTAAGCCCTAAGCCCTAAGCCCTAAGCCCTAAGCCCTAGGCCCTAAGCCCTAAGCCCTAAGCCCTAAACCCTAAACCCCAACCACATCAGCCCTATAAACCGGATGCACTTGAGTTGCTCCGAGGATCTCGGCTTCCATGACCATCGGCTGTGTCTTGGCAGCTTGCTGGGGCCTTCACCTTCGTTCCCCCCACCCCCCCCCCCCCCGCCCCCAAACATCCCTCATCTTTCTTTAGAATTTAGGGTTTAGGGTTTAGGGCCTCATCCTTAACAACTCCCCCCCTCCTGCCCCATGGTTCCCTAAGCCCACAGTCATGAAGCCATGCCTCCGGAAGCCACAACTTCGGGGAAGGGTTCCCTAACCCCTAATCCCTGAACCTTATAATCAAGCCAGGCACCCACCCAGAGCAATGTGGTCTTGTTTGAGAATTGCTAGGACCCAGAGTCGGCCCTTATTTCCTGTTTTTTTAAGTTTGGGGTTCCCTTATAACCCCCTTAAAGCCAAGAAGGGCACCCTTTTATTCCTAGGCTACTCCTGGGTCTAGCTATCCCTAAACCCTAAACACTAAACCCTAAACCCTAAACCTGGGTCTACGAATTAAGAGTTGGCGAAGGATTGTTCCCGAAGTTGTGACACCAATGCGTCATCCCTAGCAGTCTTGGCACTCCCTCTCGAAATCGTGGTCCCTTGTCGGTGTTAGGGCTCTATAGGGATTAAGGGTTTTAGGGCTTGAGGGTTTTAGGGCTTTAGGGTTTTAGGGTTTTAGGGTTTGAGGGTTTAGGGTTTAGAGTTTAGGCCTATTGTAGGGCATGGGGTGGGTTTAGCGCTTCAGGATTTAGGGTTTAGCCTTCCGGGCCTGTTTTAGACTAGGGCCCACTGAAAGGGGACCATCGTTGAGAAAGCTGACCAGGTGAAGGCGAGCTTTTCAGGTTTAGCGCCTAGGGCTGTATGATTTTGCGGCTTGGGGTTCGGAGTTTTGAATTCTGGGTCGTTTTGTATGTTACTTTTGTGTTTTTTAAGGGGTGGGTGAAAGGTTTTGCCGGTGCAGGTTTAGGGTGTAATGGGTTTAGAGATTACGTTTTTGTTTACACAAAGTGCCTTCCCTGAGACCCCACATGTCTCCCATCAGTTGGGATGTTCCCCCTTATACTAACACTCCCTAATGGGGATTATAATATGGGGGTACTATAATCCCTATTCAGGAATTAGGGTTTAGGGTTTAGGGGTTGAGGGTTGAGGGTTTAGGGTTAGGACTGTGTGTAGAAGGGGGAGCACCCTAACCCGTCAGGTGTGTCAACATGCTTGTTGGCCTCGCAGCAAGAGAGAAGTTCGGCAACATCAGGCCTTTGCGCTAAAGAGCGGTTTTGGATTTGGGTAGTAATTTTGGGGGATTGGGGGTTAGGGGGTTAGGGGCTTATGGGTTGAGGGGTTTAGGTTGGGATGTTCGCCCTTCTACTAACAGTCCTTGGTAGAGACTATCGTAGCGGATACTTTAATCCTCATGAAGGACTGTTAGTATATGGGGGAAAATCCCAAGGTATAGGGCTCATAGTGTTGAGGGCTTCTTAGAGTAGCCCTACAAGGAGGGGCCCCCTAGTTATAAGTAGAGTTATAAGAGCCCTAAATTGGGTTATAAGGATCCTAAATTCGGTTATAAGTCCCTGAACTTCAGTTAGTATAGTAAGGGGGCCCCTCCTTGTAGGGTAGCCCTTGTAGAGTAGCCCTATAGGTTGAGATGGAAGCCAAGCGGCGTCGAAGCAGGTGTGCAGGGCTCTCACAGTTTCATGCTGAGCCTGCTCTCGTGCCTACCCCTAAACCCTAAACCCTAAACCCTAAATCCTAAATCCTAAATCCTATACCGTAAGCCCCAAACCCTAACTACCCCTATTTGTCAAGTGTCCGTCACCGGAACAGCTCGGACCAGCACTTGGTTTGGGCTCCATGTTGTTCAGGGTGTAGGGTGTAGAGTTTAGGGTTCAGGATGTATAAGGTTGCGTAGGAGTCGGTTTCAGGGTTTCGTGGTCACGCTGCAGGAGTTGTTTTCTTGTGGACGAAGTTCACGGGGATCCTATACGAGCCACACCCTTAGTTCCCCCATCCCAAAAGCAAATGAGGCACGGCTTAGGGCCTATGTCGGGATGTTCCCCCTTCTACGAACAGGCCTTAAACAAGGGGTTATAGTACCCCCTATCATAATCTCTATTAAGAAGTGCTATAACTAGTATACGGGGGCACATCCCAAGTCGTATGAACTGTGCCTTTCTATTTGTTCACGGGGTGGTGTAGAGCATTCCTTGGCACATAAAGCCCGAGGCGGTCCAAGAGGTGGGCTTCGGCTGGCTTTGTCAAATATGTTCAAAGACATCCCCCCGCCAGAAGTCTAGTTCCTCTTTTTGGATTCCAGGGTACTTGAAGTTTTTTGGTTGCCAGAATGTCGCACCCCCCGCCCAAACGCAAAATGAGAAGGGACCGCGTTGCAGAGCATACATAGCAGCTAGCCTTACCTGGGGCTCTATGTACCGAAAGGTTAGGAGCAGCTACCTTGCAATTAGTATATAGGAAAACCGTAACACTGTGGGTAAAAAGAGTCCCAGTATCAGTTAAAGGAACGTTTCTTCATTCAGCTTCTTTTTTTGGAAGACCTCTGCAGCATTACAGGGACGCGGTGTGGATCAAGCCCGACGGAAGTCAAGACGATTTTCCCATGGGCCTCGCGGAAAGGAGAGTCACCTTTTGTTTTTTTGTTTTGCCCAACGGCTAAGCCGCAAACCCTAAGCTTCGAACCCAGAAGCCCTTGAAAGCAGCAGGTTCTAACGCCCGTGATGGTTGAGCACCGCCAGCATGTCAGGAAATCGTGAACCCGAGGCCACAAAACCTTAAACCCTAGACCCCAATGGAGCGCTTTTAAATTTGTTTGGCTGCCCGAACTTTTTGTTTTCCATTCGCTGTCCCCAAGGCTCCAGGTAAAGATGTTTGGTAGGGTTTAGGGTCTTCTAGGGTCTTATAGGGTTTTATAGGGTTTGATAGGCTTTTACAGGCTTTTACAGGGTATGATGGGGTTTATAGGGTTGTACAGGGTTTATGGGGTTTGCGGAGTGTATGCATTTTTAGGCTTTATCGGGTTTGTAGGTTTTGTTGTGTAAACAGGGCTTATAGGGTTTACAGGGCCAGATTTGATCCTGGCACCTTTAATCATCACTGACCGACAGGAGGTTTCCAAGAGGCGTGCTAAGACCCGCCTTAAAAAAAGGCTCAACCCAAACCGAACCCAAATCCCGACAACCCCAGACCATCAAAACACACCCTGTCCTTTGGAGGTGTTCCCGCAAACCACAAACCCAACCATCTAAACCCTAACCCCCGCGGCTGCACATCTAAAATCCTATCAGCAACCCTGTCATTGACCCTAAACATACCTATGGGCCTAAAGCCAACTTCCGACAAAAAACACAAACGAAACCCAAGACACAAAGCCTTTTTCTGAAATGTTTATATGTAAAGGGTATCCCTAGACCCTAAACCCTAAGCCCAAAGCCCCTGGCCCTGAACCGTAAACCCCAATCCCCAAACCCTAAGCCCTAAGCCCTAAACCCTAAACCCTAAACCCTCAAGGCCAGGATGAAAGAAATTGTAGGTGTTTCATTACGAGCAGCTCGTGCAATAATCCTTCATCCTTCACAGTGCAAAAATATTAGCCCCCTCAGCCCCCCCAACCCCCCCAGCCCCTCCAGCCCCTCCAGCCCCCTCCAGCCCCCTCCAGCCCCCTCCAGCCCCCTCCTCCAGCCCCTCCAGCCTCCAGCCCCTCCAGCCCCTCCAGCCTCCAGCCCCTCCAGCCCCTCCAGCCCCAGCAAAATTTGAGGTTAAAAAGCAGAAAACAAAAAACAAACTCGTATACAAATTTCCACCCCAAAACCACCCCCCCCCCCCCCCCCCAGCCCCCCCAAGCAGCCCTCCCCGCAAGCCCCCACCCCAACCCCCCATCCACCCCAACCCCCCATCCCCCCATCCCCCCCAGCCCCCCCAAGCCCAACCAACAAAAATGTAAAACATTTGAAGGCAAAAAACAAAACCCGGCAAAACCCCCCAAACCCCGACAAAACCCGACAAAACCCGACAAAACCCCCCAAAACCCCCCAAAACTCCGGACACAAACCCTATACCCTAAATTTGACCTTAGCAACCTTGTCCGTTTGAGGCATTCCGCGGAGCTGGGAAACGCTGTCACCCACCGAAGGTCTGTTCAACTCCTAAAGGGGCTTCTAGGGTTTAGGGCTTCGGCTTCGGGTTTCGGATTTAGGGCCAGGGGTTTGCAGGATGTTTAGGGTTTAGGGGTTGGAGGGTGTAATTCGGGTTGGAGAGCAGGTTGGGGGACGGGGGGCGTGAGGTTCTTTAATAGCTAAGCGCCTGTGGGGGTTCTTTTAATTCATGGTTTAGTTAGGGTGTGTGTGTGTGGGTGCGTGCGTCAAATACTCCGCGGACACCGTCACGCACAACGTGTGTTGTGGTGTGCGCCAAGGTTCACGTTCCCGCCCAACCCAGCTACCCGACCTATGACCCTTGTCGGGTCCCTGGTTTCAGTCTTGGGATGTATCCCCTTATACTAGCAGTTCTTAATAGGGATTATCGTGCCCCTATTAGAATCCCTACTAAGGACTGCTAGTATAAGGAGGAACATCGAAAGTTTCAGTCTTTTTTGCTTTGGGATGTTGGCCCCATCTTGGTCTCAGCTTTGTGCTTTGTTCTGAGTCTTTTGAGATCGAGAATGCTCCTGTCAAGGGGTCTCCTGAGTCTTGCAGGGTAAGGAACCTCCGTTATAGGGTTCTTCCCAGAGACTCCAAAACCCCTTAATTAAGATTTAAGGTATATTCCTTAATTAAGGGGTTTTGGAGTCTCTGGGTTCTCGGGAACCTTAGGGAAACTTGGGGAGTAGTCCCGGAACTCCAACATCCGAAGCATGGCGCTGAGAACCCACGACTTTGTTTTTGTCAGTCGTACAGGGTGGGGCCCCCTAGTTATAAGTAGAGTTATAAGGGCCCTAAATTGGGTTATAAGGACCCTAAGTTAGGTTATAAGTCCCTTAACTACAGTTAGTATAGTAAGGGGGCCCCACCCTGTATGGCTTAAGCGGTTGAAGGTTTTTAGGGTCTAGCTTTTCGGGGCTTTTGGGTTCCGGGGTGGAGGGCTTCAGGGTACGTAACCCTAAACCCTAAACCCTAAACCCTAAACCCTAA